ATTGCTGGATCAAATGGTAGATCAATGTTTAGCTTTTTAAGTAGCTTCCAGAGTGGTTGTGCTAGTTTACATTCCCACCAACAGTGTAAGACAGTTCCTTTTTCCCCCGAATCCTCGCCAACACCTGTTGTTCGTGGTGTTGCTAATCATGGCTATTTTAACAGGGGTGAGGTGGAATCTTAGTGTGGTTTTAATTTGCATTTCCTTTATTGCTAGAGATGGTGAGCATTTTTTCATGTGTTTTTTTGGCCATTTGAATTTCTTCTTTTGAGAAAGTTCTGTTTAGTTCACTTGCCCATTTCTTTATTGGTTCATTAGTTTTGGGAGAATTTAGTTTTTTAAGTTCCCTATATATTCTGGTTATCAGTCCTTTGTCTGATGTGTAGCTGGCAAATATTTTCTCCCACTCTGTGGGAGTTCTCTTCAGTTTAGAGACCATTTCTTCTGATGAACAGAAGCTTTTTAGTTTTATGATGTCCCATTTATCTATGCTATCTCTTAGTTGCTGTGCTGCTGGGGTGTTGTTGAGAAAGTTCTTACCTATACCTACTAACTCCAGAGTATTTCCTACTCTTTCCTGTATCAACTTTAGAGTTTGTGGTCTGATATTAAGATCCTTGATCCATTTTGAGTTAATCTTGGTATAGGGTGATATACATGGATCTAGTTTCAGTTTTTTGCAGACTGCTAACCAGTTTTCCCAGCAGTTTTTGTTGAAGAGGTTGCTATTTCTCCATCATATATTTTTAGCTCCTTTGTCAAAGACAAGTTGGTTATAGTTGTGTGGCTTCATATCTGGGTCCTCTATTCTGTTCCACTGGTCTTCATGTCTGTTTTTGTGCCAGTATTGCCTTGGCTATTCGTGGCCTCTTGTGTTTCCATATAAATTTAACAGTAGATTTTTCAATCTCTTTAATTAATGTCATTGGAATTTTGATGGGAATTGCATTAAACATGTAGATTACTTTTGGGAGTATAGACATTTTTAATATGTTGATTCTACCAATCCATGAGCGTGGGAGATCTCTCCACTTTGTATAGTCTTCCTCAATCTCTTTCTTCAGAAGTGTATAGTTTTCCTTGTAGAGGTCTTTCACGTCTTTTGTTAGGTTTACACCTAGGTATTTGATTTTTTTTGAGGCTATTGTAAATGGAATTGTTTTCATATATTCTTTCTCAGTTTGTTCATTATTAGTGTATAGAAATGCTAATGATTTTTCTATGTTGATTTTATATCCTGCTACCTTGCTGTAGCTATTGATGATGTCTAGAAGCTTCTGAGTAGAGTTTTTTGGGTCTTTAAGGTATAGGATCATGTCATCTGCAAATAGGGATATTTTGACAGTTTCTTTACCTATTTATTCCTTTTATTCTTCTTCTTGCCTAATTGCTCTGGCTAGGAATTCCAGTACTATGTTGAATAGGAGTGGAGATAGTGGGCATCCTTGTCTGGTTCCTGATTTTAGAGGGAATGGTTTCAGTTTTTCTCCGTTAAGTATAATGCTGGCTGTAGGTTTTCGTATATTTTTATAATGTTGAGGTACTTTCCTTCTATTCCTAGTTTTCTTAGAGCTTTTATCATGAAATGGTGTTGGATCTTATCAAAGGCTTTTTCTGCATCTATTGAGATGATCAAGTGGTTTTTGTCTTTGCTTCTGTTAATGTGGTTTATTATGTTTATTGATTTTCGTATGTTGAACCACCCCTGCATCCTGGGATGAAGCCTACTTGGTCGTGGTGAATATCTTTTGATGTGTTGTTGAATTCGTTTGCCATTATTTTGTTGAGGATTTTTGCATCAATGTTCATTAAGAAGATTGGCTTATAGTTCTCCTTTTTGGAGGTGTGTCTTTCCTGGTTTTGGGATAAGTGTAATACTGGCTTCATTAAATTAAATGTGTTTGGCAGTTTTCCTTCCCTTTCTATTTCGTGGAACAGTTTAAGGAGGGTTGGTATCAGTTCTTCTTTAAAGGTCTGATAGAATTCAGCAGAGAATCCATCAGGTCCTGGACTTTTCTTTTTGGGGAGACTCTTGATTGCTGCTTCAATTTCATTTTGTGTTATAGATCTATTCAGGTGATTAATTTCCTCTTGGTTCAGTTTTGGATGATCATATGTATCTAGAAATCTGTCCATTTCTTTAAGATTTTCAATTTATTTGAATACAGGTTCTCAAAGTAGCCTGATGATTTCCTGGACTTCCATGGTGTTTGTTGTTATCTCCCCTTTTGCATTCCTGATTCTACTAATTTGGGTTTTTTCTCTCCTCATTTTAGTCAGGTTTGCCAGGGGTCTATCGATCTTGTTTATTTTTTCAAAGAACCAGCTTTTTGTTTCATTAATTCTTGTATGGTTTTTTTGGTTTCTATTTTGTTGATTTCAGCTCTTATTTTTATTTCTCTCCTTCTATTTGTTTTGGGATTTGCTTGTTCTTGTTTTTCTAGGAGTTTGAGATGTCTCATTAGGTCATTGATTTGGGATCTTTCAGTCTTTTTAATATATGCACTCATGGCTATAAACTTTCAGGACTGCTTTTGCTGTGTCCCCATAGGTTCTGGTAGGTTGTGTTTTCATTTTCATTGAGTTCCAGGAACTTTTTAATTTCCTCTTTTATTTCATCGATGATCCATTGTTCATTAAGTAGTGAGTTATTTAGTTTCCAGCTGTTTGCATGTTTTTTGTCTTTATTTTTGTTGTTGAGTTCTACTTCTACTGCATTGTGATCAGATAGTATGCATGGTATAATTTTCAATTTCTTATATTTGCTGAGACTTGCTTTGTGCCCTAGGATATGATCATTTTGGAGAAGGTTCCATGGGCTGCTGAGAAGAATGTATATTGTGTAGAGGTTGGATGAAATGTTCTGTAGACATCAACTAGGTCCATGTGATCTATTGTATATTTTAGATCTTGGATATCTTTATTGATTTTTTGTTTGGATGACCTATCTATTGGTGATAATGGGGTGTTAAAGTCTCCCACAACCACTGTGTTGGCGTTCATATATGCTTTTAGGTCTTTCAGGGTATGTTTGATGAAATTGGGTGCGTTGACATTGGGTGCATACAGATTGATGATTATTATTTCCTTTTGGTCTATATCCCCTTTTATTAGTATAGAATGTCCTTCTTTATCTCGTTTGATCAATGTAGGTTTGAAGTCTACTTTGTCAGAGATAAGTATTGCTACTGCTGCCTGTTTTCGGGGGCCATTGGCTTGGTAAATCTTCCAGCCTTTCATACTAAGCCTGTGCTTATTTCTCTTGGTGAGATGGGTCTCCTGGAAGCAACAAATTGTTGGATCTTCCTTTTTAATCCATTTTGTCAAGTGGTGCCTTTTGATGGGTGAATTAAGTCCGTTAACATTAAGTGTTAGTACTGATAGGTACCTCTTCATGTTAATAGCTGGCCTCATTATCCAAAACAGAATGCACACTTCTGTAAGGAGCCCTCACTCTGGTTGCTACCTCAGCTTGTAAATTTGATAGGATGTTAACTAAAGCAGAAATGAAAGTACTTCCTGTCCTGAGAAGCTTCATCTCTCAATTTCTCTGTTTTCACTCAACCTACCTTTACTCCACATGGTTTCTAGTTCTATGTTTTCATTGCCCAGTGACTCAATCTACTGTGGCTATTGTAATTCTCACGTCAGTGCTGAAATGTTCTTGGGTGGGTATAGAATATTAACAGCTGTTAAGAACAAATTCTTTTGTAATGCTGGGTTTTACAAGTCTCTGCTTGGTTTTTGTTTTTTCATTGAGGGACTTCTCAGTTTTTATTAGCTTACATGCATAGAAATCATCACGAAGGCTGTACGATAGTTCACATTTCCCTAACTTATGACCACAGAGCCCATTTTATACAGAGCCTCTTACTGGACTCCTATTGTGGAAGTATCCCTTGGGAAAACATTGTGTTAGGGTACCAGAATATAAGGAGTTGGGATATATTGCTTCAATTCAAACTTGACTCTTTTTTGTGTATTTACCAGAACCAAGATCATTATGCAGTTCTTGGACTTGGCCATGTAAGATACAAAGCCACACAGAGACAGATCAAAGCAGCTCGTAAGTTCTTAAGTTACTTTGAAATAATTTGAATATTTAATATAGTAAATGTTATTCTTTTGAAAATCATAGTATGTAGCCATACCTTTCCATGTAACAGCATCTGTTATAACAGTGTAAGGCCACAATCACCTTTGCCTTCAAAACCAGAAAAAAAAGTTTTGTGCGTGGACTTTCTCATTAGGAAGAAATCGGAGGGGTGGGGTGTGTGAGTGTGTGTGTGTGTGTAAGAGTGAGAGAATGATGCAGATAGGATGAAGAACACTCTCCCAGTGACAAGCTACTAAAAAATATTTTACCTTTCTTTAGAAGTATGGGAAGCTGTATTTAGTGAAAGCTCTGACTTGATACTTTGTTTTTTTTTTTTATTAATCTGTGGTTTTAGTTCATACCTTTGTTGGTATCATCCTTTTTGCTGCCCAAGAAAGAGTTTTCTAATGCTTTCTTGTTATTTGCGTTGACACGGTTAAAAATGGAGAGAGGGAAATGTTGGGAACGCAGTCTTTCATACGCCTTATAGCATACCACTCTTTAATGAGCCTAATGTCCTCTCCTTTACATTCCTGTGGACCTATTTCCTTACACACTCAGTTCACCTACTTAGTGAAGTTTAATGAAAAAGATGAACGCGATTAGTCTTCTGTGTTTTATCTTAGGAGAATGTTCTGCCTTCCTCTGTAGAGAATGGATATTGAGGTCAGAGGAGGTAAGATTGTGGCCATTTGGAAAAGGAATAGGGAGTCAAGAAGAGAAAGTGTTACACTTGGATGAACGTGGCTAAAGAACTGATGTTGGAAAGTACTAGTGGAGCCTTCATATAGTAGATGAGTTCAAAATTTTTCCCATTAATGCTTATATTTAGGAATGTCACAGGAAGTATTTTTTAACAAAGTGATGATTTTAGACCTAGTGCTACATTTTTTAAAAGGCTGGCATGATTTTAGATAAAGTTTGTTAATGCATATGGTCATTATAATACACATACGTTCCAGAAAAATCCATTTGCCATGAGAAAGCATCTGCAGTCTTTAAGAAAGAATAACAAATACCAAAAATGTCATGAAGCATATAAATTTGTCAAAAAATTAGAAGTTATTTAAAACTGGAAATTGTTTAAGTTGAAGGAATTCTGTTTCTTCTTTTAAGTCTACTCTTTATTAACATGATAGAAACTCACTTTTAACTATTCTTTATTGAACAGTTTTGCAACACCTGTACAGAGACTATTAACCATAAAAAAATTATAACTCACTCTCCACAACCCTTGTTAAATATTTTACCAAACATCTATTCAAAAGAAGATTATCATTCTTTCACCTCTGCCACTAAAAATAGATGGTTGCTACTTTCTGCTTTCTGCCTAATCCAAAGACTAGTCCAGTCCAAAGGTGAGAAAGTAAAGTTAGTATTTGCAAATCTACAATTATTAGCACAAACATGGCAGAAATGTAAGTCTAATAACACATGAGATCCTTTGGGTTCTTATGTCCTATTACACACAAAAATAGATTTTAAAAAAATATATTTTGAATAGTTATTAGGAAAATTTGGAATTCAATTAAGGTTTTTTATAATCTGAAAAGAAATTGCTAGAAGAGTTGCTTGATGAGTTAAGAGGAAGTACTTGAATGCTACTGGTGGTGTTTAAATTACTTATGTAGTTTTAGTCTTAAAGTACACACTAACAAAATGTACATATAGGTTGCATGAAAATAATCTCATAATTTGAATTTTCCTAGATTTAATAATCTTAATGTATTTGTGATACCTTAGACTAAAAGCTTTTATTTCAAGCTTCTTAAAAGTTAAAAGTCATATTTAAAGACTTCTTGTGTGTATTTATGGTTCTGGGCAAGCACTCTACCACTGGGCTACATCACCAGGCCTTTTATTTTTTTTAATTTAGTCATTTATTTTGGCAGTATTTGGGTTTTGAACTCAGAGGCTCCTACTTCATAGGCAGGCATTCTACCACTTAGCCACACCTCCAGGCCCTTTTTTTTTTCCTTCAATTTTTTTTTATTTATTCTTACATTCATGTGTGCATCATTGTTTGGGTCATTTCTCCCCCCCCCCCGCCCTCTGTCCCCTCCCTCTCCCTAACCCCCTTCCTTCAGTTTTTGAGGTAAAGTTTCTAAGTAGATCCTCTTTAACCTGTATTTTAAAGTTGGGTAACATCTTACGTACAACACACACACACACAGTGTATAAGTAGGACAGCAGGATCCTCTAAGATACATAGGTTACTAAAAATGACCAGGAAGAAAAATAAATGTAAGAAAAAAGAGACTAAAAATTGAACCTCCTTTGAAAAAATTGAACCTCAAAAAGATTTGAGCCATTGCCTCTCTCCGAGGTTCAAGAGAAAATTTAAGGGTCTACTACATGCTGACAGTGTCTCAAGAGCTTTCTCATGAGCTCCTGTTCTACCAACCTAACTGAGGGTGACCAAAGATGCAGAAAGGACAAGCAATAGAAAACATAGAAGACATGCAGAAAGTTGGGAGATGCACAACAGCCTCGTTATTTCTTTCCTCTAATATTCTCTTCTGCTTTACTTCTTTTCCCTTGTTCTTTAAAACCTTACTTTATTCATTAAAACCTTATTTCTAAAGTTTTTCTTCTGTTCTTTAAAGTCTCTTTCCTTAGACTCGCTCTGTCCCATGTCTTCTTTAATCTCTCTTAAAGCAGCAGCAGCAGCCAGCTACATCATTCAGCAGCAGTCCCCTCACAAACCACCTGGGCAATAGTTACACGTCTTGCAAGCAGCCAACCAATCGATCCCCCATCAAAACCTTCCTGCCTC